TCCTGTACATTCTCTACATTCTGTTATGTCCATACCAGACATAACATTGTTTTATAGGTCTAAACTATATACAAATAGCACCACGTGGAATATACCAATCTGAAGCTCACTTTTTGCATTGTGCATGTTTCTGAGATTCATCTATGTTGATACACATGGCTCTACTACATTCCTTTTAACTACTAGGTGATGTTTCATTGTGGAAAGATATCATAAGCTGTTTTCTCACGCTCCCCTTGGCTGGGGCATCTACAGTGACGCTGTTGGTTTCCCGTATGGGTCTCCTGCTGCACAGTGCAGGAGTCTCGTGGGTCAGGGCACCGTGGAACCTCCAACTCATCCCCTCTCCACCCGACAGCGTGTGTGTTCCCACTGCTCCTCACCCTCAGATACTTGGCACCATCGGACTTTTAACACTTATTCAGTCTGCTTGTGAAATGGCATCTCATTGTCGGTTTAATGTGCTTTCTGTTGATTCCTGTTAAGATTGAACATCTTTGTATAGGCTTCTATCCACTTGCGCTTTCTTTTCTGGAAAGCGATGGACAAGTGCTCTGGGGACAAGTGCTCAGCTGCCCCTCTGTATTTCTTATTATAACCCAGCAAAAACAACCCTATCTTTAGCTGGCTGGGATCAAAAGCTCCTAGTTTGAACATTTGCAATTAGATTCCTAGATAGTTAGTTTTCAAACTGGAGTCCCGGCATAGTAACTATCAACTCATTCATAATATGCATGTTTAAAACAATGTTATTTTGTGGTATTGGGAACTGGATCTAGTGCATTTAGATCATTTAAACAGCCACACATTGTTCTACTATATACCTATACCAAAACAAATTCATTGAGGTGAATCACACTTTCACATGTGAAAAAGAACATTCTACAAAACATTGGAGTGCACTGCACATATACTGTATGCAGCAAGTATAAATGTGTGTGTGTGTGTGTGTGTGTGTGTGTGTGTGTGTGCGTGTGCTGCAAGGTCAAAGATATTTTAACTGCAAGTTATGCTCAAACATTTCTGGAAGCTAGCATTCCAGTTGGCTTCCCTGACTCCATCCTTTCCCTTTTCTGTGCTATCCTACAGGCCACTGCCAAAACAATTGGACTAAATCATTGCTTTTGCCATGCTACTTCCTGCTGAAAAGGCTTCAATTTTCAAAAGGCCAGGCTCAATTTCAATTCCTCAGCATGGCACTGAAAGCACTATACAATGTGGCCCCGAGCTGGGGTGCCAATTCTCACCATCCAGGCCTCTGCCCAGTCATTATTTATTGCACCCAAACTGGCCTCCTGACTGAGTGCATCAAATACTCTTCATGCATTCCATCTCGCCTCATCTTCACTACACTATTCTTCTAACACAGATCCCTCTCTCGTTCCCCAGGGAAACTGTACCAACTTGCTAAGTCAAAGTTCGGTTAAAATGACAGCTCCCACTTGAAGTCTGTCTTGATGATGCGATGTTGACATTTAGTGACCAGCTGTCCTTCTTCTCAATCCTGAGCACTTTCCAGACACTGGTGGAAGACAGGGGTTCACTCTTGTAGTCTTTCACATTCCCCACAACATTTAGCACAGGCATTGTATGTCGTAAATGTTCAACGGGCATATGAACACATATTTGTTGAGCACTATGTATTGGTTTCTTTCTTTGGTTTTTTTTTTTTCCGGTGCGGGGAATTGAACTCACGACCTTGCGCTTGCCAGGCAGGTGCTGTACCGCTGAGCTAAATCCCCAGCCCTGTTGAGTACTATGTAAGTACTGCACACTATAGATGTCCTTGAACTTATGATGGGGCTATACCTTGATGAAACCATTGTAGTTAAAAAGATCTGTAGTGGAAAAAGCATTTAATAAACTAATCTACTGAACACCCTAGCTTAGCAGCACAGGACCATGAAGAGCACTGGCTGTTTACCCTCAGAATTGTGTACTTAACTGGGAGCTGAACACTGAGCCCGAAGAACACTAATATTTAGGGGCAAACAAGAAGAGCCTAGAAAGTCAAAAAAGGCTCATATCATAGGCAGTCTCCACTCATTTCACAGCAGACTCAGGTAGCAGAGTGTCCGCTGGGATTATTTATCCTGTTACAGATGGAGAAAACAAGGCAAGGAAAGGTTGTCTGGCTATCCCATGAGCATTTGAATCAGAATTTGAACACAACACTCTACCCATAGTCAAATTTATCTTCACAGCCTCAATTTCCTTCTTTCAAAAACTACTGGACTCTTAGGATAGGAAGATTTTCTCTAGCATACCTTTTCATCATCTGAACCAAAGATCATCAAGGTGTGTAGCTCCAGGGAAGGCGATAAGTACTGGAGAGACCTAAATCCACTATTCGTAATTCTTTCTCCACACCATAATAAAGACACACAAAACGGAAGAGAGAGAGATAAGGGAAAAAGCAGGACAGGAAGGAAGAAGGGAGACAAAGGAGAGAGCATCTGGCTTACAGCCATTAGGTCAACCAGGGTCTGAAATGTGAACATCAAATGCTTTCTTCACTGGGATGCCTTGTTGAATGGCACATGCAAGGATGTGTGGATAGTACAGGAAGGCAGCAGGTACCCACTAAATAAATGGAGTGGGTGGGCTGCCTCCACAGAGGAAGCAGAGAACAAAGGCCTCTCACTCTTCATGCAAAGTCCACAGTGTGCAAAGGGCATCAATACTGGGCATTTCTTACTGTGACATTTTGAAAGCCCAGCCTAGCCTAGAACAATGGCTACCCTTTGGGGACCATGGGCCATGTGCCCCCAGGCCTTATTTAATGATGGCTGGCACAATCTATGTACTTGGTGAACTTGACCTTGGGCATCAGCCTCCCAGGATGGCTCTACGTCACTCTAGTCTCTTCCCCTACTCAGAATTCCAGTCTCAGATGAATGGATGGATTCATTCTGGGAGCAGGAAAACCACTCTGGGAGTGAATCAGAAGGACCTAGCCCTGGTCTCCTTGCCAGCCATTGAGCTAGGAACTGAGTGTGATTGTGTGCCCAGGCGCCGGTGCTGGTCCCCTCTTAGGGAGAGAGGGTCAGGGTCCACGCAAGAAATGACGTAGACAGCCTTTAAGAAGAAAGACAAAGGAATCTCAGCTTTGAGGGACAAAGCCACCCTTTTGATTGTGACCCTCAGTGTAAGGAGGTACCAAGATGTGCATGTACTGGTAAATTAATTCTACTTTATAAAAATCTCAGCTTCTAGACAGCTGCCAATTTCAATTCTCTCCAACCTGACAGACTTTAGCAAATGGACTGCTAGTTTTTCAGGAAATAAACTTTCTGCAAGATAGGTGGAAACAACTTGCCTCAGATCACCCAGAATATCATTCACTGTTAGTGGCCTCTGACCTACTCTTCTCCCAATTAGTGAAGAAAAGATTCACTCCATTTTTAAAATTGTAAATACCAATCTGAACAACATAAAGCATCTGTACTTTCTGCTTTTTACTTCAAAAAATTAGGCAACAGAACGCTAAAGATTCAAGATGGAGCAGACAAGAGGACATCACATCACAACCTGGGGACCCAGACTGACACTTAAAGGAAGAAATTTTCTCTTGGAAAGGGAATTGAAGAATTGCCACTTTGCTCATCACTAGCTAAGCAATAGCAAGATGAGAAAGTTAGCTTTTTAGAGTTCCAGTCCTCTGTTGACCTCCTAGAGCAAAAAGTGGAGGGAAAAGGAACAGCTCCTGCTGGGGCTTATTAGGGTATTGCCCCAGGCTTCCCTCCATCTGCTGCACTGACTGACACTTGTCCAACAATCAATCCTGGCCTAAGAAGCAGGTGGGGATATCACCTTTCCTGGCTAGAGCTTAGTCTCTACTGATGGTCATGTTAGCCTGCAGAAGCCTTCCTGAAGAATATTCTTCTATTTTCATTCATTCATAAATGAGCACTATGCACCTACTTTGCATAAACAATCTAGACCCTGAGGACAGGGTGGTAAACATGCTCCCAATGTTAACAGAACTTGAGTTCTAAAAGGGTCAATTCATCTACATCTCTGGGGGTCAATTTATTCATATAATTGGATTATTATAGTTGTATCTCCTGAGATGAGGGCTTGTGGATACACAGGTTCGTGGGCCTGATTATAAGGTAAGGTCCTTGACATGGGCAGCCTCTGAGGAAGCCCCAGGAAGGAAGGCAAGCCTTGGTTCTTTCCTGTGAACATAAACAATCCAGAGCAATGAATAGGGACTGGCTACTGGGCAAGCAGTCTTACAAAATAAATCAACCGTTAAACATTATGAAGTGTTTACTATGCTGCAAGTATCACACATCTGTGGAGCACTTGGAGTTGTGACTCTACTACTCTAAGATCCTTGACTTCTTTTCTCATGGTGTAATAGTTCCCATAAGGTTTAAACTTAATCATGTCTACTTTAGAAGTAGAATAGTAAGGTCATGGTCCTGGAAATCACTAAATTCTACATCAGAAGAGTGGAGTTGGGTGTAACTCTGGCCCCTTCTAAAAGACAGGCAAATTTTCTTTGTCTTTTGAAGACTCATAAATGGTACAAAGGTCAATTTTCCGAAAGCGGGTGGTGTCTGATCACTAAACTGGGCCCAGACTACCAAAGCGAGGGTCACACATCTGGGGTGAACCCGCGCGGTGGAGAGCTTCCCATAGTGAAGACGGAAGACACGGATTCCACCCCAATGGACATTTTAAAAAGAGAAAGGAACAGAGAAGTCTTTCACTTTCAGGAGCTAAGAGGAAACGTGTCCTGCTTCTTTTAAAAGGGAACCAGGAAACATTATCAGATTCGGGGTCCCAGGCTAAGGGGATCTTCTCGCCCGTCTCCCGGGAGTCTGGCCGAGAGATGGCGACTCCGGGAAGGCACGGGGGAAGACCCCCTGAAAAACACTGCAGCGGGGGTCGGTGAGGGAAGGGTGGGCGCTGGGATTCCGACCTGACGCAGGGCCGGGCGCAGGAGGGCCTGGGGCTCCACCGCACCCTGCCGCCTGGGCCTCACTCACCAACTCATGGTCCTGAACCTGGGCCGGCGCCGGGGTCCTCCGCTGCACCGCAATCTTCAGGGATCACTTCCGGATTCAGCCAGTCTCCAGGAAGTGACGCAGGACCCGTCCCCACTGAGCGGAAGAGGCGGCCGGGAGGGCGGGGCTCAGCGCGTTAACCCTTTGGCGTTCGAGGCGTTTCCCTTGCCGGCGATTCTCAGCGCCCTGACTTTGGGCTTTGAGGCTTAACCTGCACGGGAGGGAGGAGGACCTGGGGGTGGGAGTGGGAGTCAGACTTTAACACTGACTCAAAGTTCCTTTCTAGCCGACACAGGGCTCTTAACGGGCTTATCACTTGTGTCCGGAGGTTTAATCCAAAGACAGGTTCAGCAGTTGTGGCTAAAAGGAGCCTTTGAGGAGAAACGGTGTGAGGAAGACTTTCATTCGCCGCACACTCTTTGTATTTCCTAAATATTACATTGCTGCACGTGCATTACGTGTAGCAACCAACAAATGGGTCTTTCCCTCCGTCGAGATGGCTCAGAGCTCAACTTTAAGTAGATTAAGTGCTTTCAGGCTGGAATGTTTTGTGGCTTTAACTTCCCAGTCCTGAGTTCTGTAGCCTCCTCTATAGCCCGCAATCATATGAATAGTCCTGCTCTTTCTGTCCCTTCATTTCACAAATATTAAGCTCCTACAACGTGCCAGGCACTGTGCTAACCTTGAGGATACAACCATACAAAAGAAGTATTGGTTCTGCCCTTGTACCCTCTCCATGCTACCTTCCTTCAGGGGCAGGTGAGCAGGTGGTGACAATAATGATACAGAATGGGACAGGACAAGGTGCAGGGGCAGCCTGTAAGGGGTGCAGGGGCACCCTAAGATAAACATGGGGCTTCAGTGCAGTCTTATGGGAGGAGCTAAGGTGGAACCAGGGGTGGCCAGGTGAATCTGAGATGAGGGCTGGATGGGCTCTGGCAGAGAACTTACCTTGACTAAAAGGAGGCATGAGGTCCAGGCAAGCAGCTGAGCTGCCTTAGGTGTTCCAAAGTAAAATTTCAGGGTCTTAGTTCTTCATAAGCTGTCCGGTTCTGGGCTGCGATGCTCTCCTCAACCCAAGTAGCCCCATGTCTTAGAAAATAGAAAAAAAGGGAGTAAAGCTCATGCTGGGCCCCCAAAAACTTTCTCACTAGGAATTCTCCTTCAAGTGAACCTCAAGTGTTTTAGAAGCTGCCTGGGGAGCAGCTAAGCCAATGACCTAAAGCAGAAGATACATATGGTTTGATCTGCCTTCCTAGGGTAGAGTCCAGGGTTCAACCAGGAGGCATAGGGAAGTTCAGAGTATGGCTCACAGGAAGTATTCTCTCATTTGTATTTTCTGTTCCCATTCTCAAGGGTTCATAATTTGACTCAAAAGGGATTTCCAATGGGAGGTGGGTCTCCAAGCACATCACAGATCAGCTTCATTGCCATGCTATTCTTCAGGAAGTGGATCAACATGAGTACAAGGGCAGCCTTAAAGGAGAGGTCACCAAAGTGCAACTTGGGCAGAGATCAAGGGGAAAGAGAGGGCAGTTCTTGCTACTTTGCAGTGGACATGACAGGTGGAAGGGTTGCTATGAATGGATCTTCTATCTGCTTCCTTCATTCCCCATACTCTACCTCCCTTGGGTATTGCCCACAGTGATAAGTGTCTCCAAAAGTATTAGTCTAGGCCACTTCAAATACCAAGAGAAGTCTATTTTAGAGCTGTGTCGGGGCAGCAGACACATGCTGTAGGATGGGAATGGGTGAGTTCTGGACTAAGAGTCTGGAGGAGTCCTGGGCTCTAGTTCTATCTTCAACACTGTGATTTCAGACAAGTCACATCCCCTTTCCAGGGCTTGATTCTCTCATCTATAAGATGAGTGGACAGATAATATTACTAAAGCCTCTCACATTCAAATGCCAAGTCCATTGTCATGTTGCTTTGACAATCTTGGGAAATATGAGAATATAGGAGACAGGTGAGGTGGGTTGTGAACAGAGAATCAAGCCCAGAGGAGTGAGAATTTTGAGCAATTGATGATGTCTAGGGATGAAGCTGAATATGAATCTTCTGGGAGGGAAGGATTCAGCCTAAGGCCTGACTAGAGCTGTGCTGTTTACTCTCCACCTCAAACCTTTAACATGGAAGACCTTTGAAGTTAGTGGGAAGAACGCTGGCCTCCAGGGTCTATCTACAAAGTGCCTTCTCTGAGTTGAGCTTGACCTCCCTATACTCAGCTAGAGTGGACAGTCAGGCATTCTGCTGCCCTCTTCTCTCCATTGCCCTACCATGCTCAGCTGGAGCGGCACTGGGCTGAGGATGGACAGTCAAGTGTCCTGCTGTTCTGTGCACCCACAAGTTGCCTTCCATGGCCCTGCCATGCTGTGCGGTATTGATCCTTGGGAGGCTGAGCACAGGGACATACACACACCTCCCACTGTTGTGAAAATCTCAGCCTGAAGGGCCAGGCGCTATGCCTTTCCCTTTTATAACCAAAGGACAGCACAGTACAGGCTGATTCTTCCCCTGCAGGGGAGAAATAGGAAAGGAGAAAAGCAGGTTTATAAGTAGAAGCCCAGAGTGCAGACCTTTGGGGTAGAAGCTAAGGTTCTGGTTTCAAGGTTGGTCAGTACTGCTTCCTCCCAGAAGTCTGAGCCTGAAGAGTATTCAGGTTGCAAAAGTCTACATCAAGAACAAAACCATGGGAGAACTGGCTCTGGCATCAGCCTCTGACCACTCTGTATTTCTTTCTTTTTTTTTTTTTTTTGGTACTGGGAATCAAACTCAGGACCTTGTGCTTGCCAGGCAGGCGCTTGTGCCACTGAACTATATCCCCAGCCCCAACTCTGGGGTTTTTTTTTAACTGAGAAATTTGCATGTGGCTGTTCCACATGGGCCCTTATCTCAGGGCTTGTCATGTCCTGCTCTCTCCCAGCCTTTTCTGCTCCGAAGTTGAGGGTTGATCCCTGACTTTCACAGTGCCAGCCTCTAATTGGCAAAAAACAAGGATTCACAGAATCTGGGTCATTAGGGGCTTCATTGAAGCATCAAGCTAAGGCTGAGGGGCTGAATAGGATGGGACCAAATTGATGGCCTGAGCTCTTCATAGCCCTGAAGGCCTTAGTGCCTCAGGCAGGCTCCTGCAGCAGACTAAGAGCCAGGTCCTTGGGTTTCTCAAGGGATTCCCTGCCCCACCTCTCCCTCCTATGCACCTCTTCAATAAGATGTCCCTGAACCAGAGTTCCCTGGATGGCCAGTGTCCAAGGATATGAGAGGAACAGCAAAGGTGGCAGAAGATGGGGCTATCAGGGTGAGAGTTTCCAGTGCTTGGAAGCCCACATTGATTGCTCAAAAGTCAGTGGGAAGCCAGGTTGGCAAGCAGCAGCAGAGGCCAGGAATACCTTTCTGGATCCTGGTTTTTTTCCCCTAAAGTACCTTGAGGAAGTCTATTTCCTTCTCTGGGCTCCATCTTCCTTGACCACAATGTGAAGGGTTGAGATTTGGGGTGGCAAATGTGCATCATCCAATATGCCAACTCAGATTCTTTATTACTTACTACTTGGAGTGCTGTGTTGAGTATTCTAGAGAATCCACCATTGGTGGATAAGTTCTGTGATTGATTAGTAATGTCTGCCTTGGACACGTACGAGGATGTGATGATCTGTATATTACTTTATTATTTTGTTGTCATTATTCTGGCTATGAATTAATAATCAAGCACACTTGTCATGCTGGATACTATTCTAAGCAGCTCACATTTAATCCTTACAACAACTCTGTGAGGTAGGCACTGTTATTATTTTACAGGTACAGAGGCTGAAGCACAACCATGGAGTGCTGAAGCAGAGGTTCCAACCTGAGTAAGCTGGATGTCAGCTGAGCCTTGTGCTTTTTTCTGCTAAGGAATACCACCTCTCCTCCACGACCCTTGAGGCTCCTGCCACCTCTGACAATCTATGGTTCTGTTGAGGCAGAGTGGGGTCACAAACCAGTGAACCAGTGGAACCTGAAGCAGCACCAGTCCTGAATGGTGGGATGACAATGGAAGGAGAGCCAGTACAGGCCAAGCACCTAGCATGGAAGCCATATTGGGCCTCATCCTGGGAGCTTTGACTATATATGCTCCCTCCTCTTGGACAGCTGGGACCAGCAGGTGGCAGCACCTGGCAGGGTGAGTGCAAAGGGCAACTTCTGACTTGGCACTGACTCCTTTAGAGATCAGACAGTCCACAGTCAAGAAAAGCAAGAATAATCGAGGGTGTGGAGGAAGGAGGGCCAGCTTCCCCCTACTCCCTGAGAGGAGGGCCCGACCTCAGACCCACGGGGAGCTGCCTCTGCCAGGGCTTCAGGTCCACCCAGCAGCGGGAGCCTCTCAGCTTGCATTTCATGGTGCCTGCTGTGGGCTTTTTTTCTCCACTCTGGGAGAATGACTAACTTTAAGGACTAAAAAAAAAAGTGTTTTGATTACACTGCCTTTTTACCAACTGGGAGCATTAGTCACCGCGGATTGCTGCAGATAACGGGGAAGGCAAGCAGCGTCCCCCTCCTCCCCCTCCTTCTCTGATTAGCTCACAGGCCCAGGGAAGAGACTGCGAGTGTACCCGGGAGGAAAACAATCCCCCTGGACCATGTATTCCCCAGGCATCTGGCCAAAGGCTGCTGGGTGCTAGGTTGGGGGTGGGTAGCCCCTGACAGCAGCCTCTGTGGTAGGCCCAGGCCCACAATAGGAGGCGCTCACTGGTAGGAAGATCACTGAATCATGGCCCTAGGTTCTGAGATGGCTCTAGGTGGCCTGTTTCCCCAAGTAGGCCCAGGGTATCCCCAGGAAGGGGAAATGGGAGATAGTCACTGAAGTCATAGCTTCTGGCATGGGGCCACAATGGCTGCGATGAGGGACAAGGGCTCAGGCCACGGTGTTGCTACCAACTGTTGCCTTGAGTTTGGGGCCCTGGGGCCCCACTGGGCTTGAGAAATTGCTGGCAGGTGGAGATGGCGTCCATGTCCCACTTCTTACCCTTTAGCGTCCTCCCTTCTTCTCTGTCCTGGGGGAGGGGCAGCCGCCATCTTTGCTCCCACCTTTGGGCTGTGGGACAGT